TCTCTCTCTCTCTCTCTCTCTCTCTCTCTCTCTCTCTCTCTCACACACACACACACACACACACACACACACACACACACACACACACACACCTCGTCTTCTTCTTCTTCCGCCCCCTCCCTCGTTCTCCCCCTCTCTGTCCTAGTCCTCCCCCGGTCTCTCTCTCTCTCTCACACACACACACACAGTTCTTCTTCTTTTTCTTATTCTTCTTCCTCTCCTCCTCCTCCATCGCCTCCTCTTCCCTGTCCCTCGTCCTCCTCCTCCTCTGCATTTTTTTTCCTTTTTTTTTCTCCCTCGAAATTGACGTCTTCTTCTCCTTGTTCTCGCAGGTGCGTCGTTAGCGTCGGCCGTCACCGAGCAGCACGTGAGGAGCAACAGCTTCAGCAGCAGCCGCGTTAGCATCTACCACGTCCGCAACTGTCACGACACTTGCCACGACGCCAGCTCCCGCGTCGCTATCTGCCACGTCCGCACTTGCTACTTCAGCAACTCGTCTGCGCTGACTCTACAGCATCACCGGTGTCATGGCAAGAGAGGAACGGGCCCCGTTCCTGGAGGACATGACCTGCAACAGGGACCATGTCGTGTGGACTTGGGTCACTCCTGGCCAGATGCTGTCGGGCAATGCTCGTGGGTCAAGAAGATTGCGGTGCAAACTCTGCAACAAGGAGTACTCCGGGAATCGGAAGCGTGCGTGGGAGCACTTCATTTTGGCGAGGGCGTCTGCCAGGTGTCCACATTCAAACCTGTCCATTTGGAGGAGGCTGCATGGCATCGGTGTACAGCTGCCACCGGACCTGAATGAGAGGGTGCAGCGCGTGTTGGAGATCGACAAGAGCGACGAGGAGGTCACTCCTGTTGCGGGTGGAGGAGAAGGGGGCGAAGGCGGGATTGCTGAGGATCCCGGGGAGGCACCTGGTGGGGACACCAAGGAGGTTGACATCGCTGAGGATGAGGGGACGAGGGGTGTTGTGACAGGTGGCCTTGCTACTGCAGGGAGGACTGTGGTACAGGGGGCGCGCACACGTGGCCCGATGAAGCAGATGAGCATCAGGAGGTTTGCGAAGAACCCAAGGCAGGAGGACATAGATGACTCCTGCTGCAAGTTCTTTGTGGAGAACGCAATCCCATTCAACGCCTCCAGAAGCAGGAGCTTCAAGAAGTTCATGCTGACGTGTATCGGGCCACAGCCTGTGGGGAGTCACCCTCTCGTGGCCACTGGGTACAACCCCCTCAGGTGTCGCCTGCTCGATCGTTTGAACAAGAGGTCGGTGGATGAGGAGCAGGCGGTCCGTGATGACTGGTAGGTGACTGGATGCACGTTCATAACTGAGGGCACCACAAACATCTGTGGGCGATCACTTATGAACTACATCCTTGCAGGTCGGTCGAAGCCTGTTTTCATGAAGTGCGAGGATGGGAGCGAGGGAGACAAGGACTCTGCAGGCTGCAGCTGTGGTTGCCGGGTGGAAGCGGTTCTTCAGAGAGTGGGGGGTGGAGAAGATCACGACGATATGCACTGACTCTTTCGTTGGGAATTTGAGTGCCGCGAGGATGTTGAGGGAGGACCCCGAGTTCAGGCAGATCTATTGGATCCCTTGCACAGCTCATTGCATGGACCTCCTCATGCACGATATAGGCAAGGAGTGGGAGGATGTCATCATCACCAAGGCCAACAAAGTGGTGAACTTGTTTCGGGTTCACAGGTGGCCTCAGCCGCAGTTGAGGACACAACTGTTGAAGTACCCCGACTTGGATTGCACCTGCCTCCTTCGGCCTGCTCAGACCAAGTTCGGGACGAGCTATGTGATGCTGCAGCGACTTGAGGTGTGCGAGAGGGCCATTGTGCGTGTCGTCACCGGACACGGCTGGGAGACCATGCTGTGGCGAGGGGATATCAGGGCGAAAGCCGACTTCGTGGAGGAGACAGTTCTTGACAAAGCATTCTGGGCTGATGTCAAGAAGCTGACTGTCGTCATGAAGGGGCCTTATAATGTGTTGCGAGAGGTGGACAAAGATGTCCACTGCTGGTTACGCATCTATGATATGGCGTGTCGGCTGCACGGCTTTGTTCGCTCGATCCCCCTCACCGCGGACCAGTGAGAGGACCTTCTGAGGGATGTTGGCAAGAGGACCGACATGTTGCTCAGCCCCATCCACGCCGTTGCTCGGCTGTTGGATCCTATGTTGAGGGACATTACTGTTTTCAGTAATGTCGACCTCATGGCACAATTCGAGAGCGTCGTGGAGCGGCTCATCGGGGAGAAGGGGAGCTCGAGATTTGACGACTACATGGACCAGTTGTACGAGTTCCAGTTTGGGAGAGGATTCTTCGGCACCCCGCAGGCAAAGAAACGAGCTGAGGAGGACAATGCGGTGCTGTGGTGGGAGGCGCATGGTGAAGGGCATCCAGAGATCTGGGATCTGGCGCTGAAGGTGCTCTCCATTTGGACGGCTTCCTCTCCAGCTGAGAGGAACTGGAGCACTTGGGCTTTAGTGCAGACGAAGTCCAGGAACAAGTTGCACCACCAGCGCACCGAGAAATTGGTGGCCTCGCACTGGAGCTTGAGGCTCAAGAGTAGGGGGGAGGATGGGCCCACTGTTGCAGGAGGGTGGTTGGGGCTCGCAGCCGACTGGGAGGACGAGGACTTGGGGGGTGGCATGGCAAATGTCACAGAGGAAGTTGACGACATTGAGGCCGCTRGTGAGGGTACTGCTTCCGCGGTTGGCAGCACCAGCATTCGCTAGGATCCCGCTGCGCCGTCCACTTCGAGATYGACGAAGAGGTTAGTGCAGGTGGAGGAGGGTGGGGATGAGGATGAGGCAGATGAGGATGATGATGACAACATCCCCGACGAGGAGTGGGTGGATGAGAGATCGGACTCAGACAGATCGTGGACGAGACGAGAGAGCATTGTCCCCTATGTCCAAGGCACACGATCTGGATTGAGGTCCTAGACTCGGGCGCGGCCAGAAGGGCAGCAGGGGGAGGATCCCTAGCGAGAGGCGTGTGCATATGTTCAACCGTTTCATCTGGTGAGACAGGAGGAGGATGAGCAGCAGGAGCAGGTTGAGGAGCGGAAGGGGTGGCCCGAGCCATGGGAGCTGCACGACGAGGATGAGCAGTCTGCAGAGGAGCAGCAGCAGGAGCAGCAGCAGGAGCAGCAACAAGAGCAGCAGCAGCAGCAACAAGAGCAGCAGCAACAAGAGCAGCAGCAGGAGTAGCAGCAGGAGCAGCAGCAAGGGGATGAGGAGCAGCAGTAGCATGAGAGGGAGAAGGAGCAGCAGCAGCATGAGAGGGATGAGGAGCAGCAGCAGCAGAGGAAGAAGAAACAACARCAGCAGAGGGTGGATCCCGCAGACCAGCACGAGACCATAGTGCAGTCGGCCAGAGATGCTCACGAGGAGGGTGAGGCAGAGSRTGAGCAGGGTCGCAGCGAGGTGCGAGGATTTTACGGTCCCAGTCAGCAGTCGCCTCTCCTTGGGCGGCATGGAGCGCATCCCGGTCGTGTATGGGATCCCCTCGCCTATCGTGCTCCTCGAGGACGAGGGAGGTCGGCTGTTGGACGTGGGAGAGGGCAGACTCAGGGGKTTGCGCGAGGCTCAGGCCGTCCGAGAGGGCGGCCACGAAAAGAGAAATGACAGGAAGCGGCAGCAGCAGGAGAGGAGTCAGATGATGACTCTCGTGAGAGTGCACCACTGCAAAGGAAGAAGAGGAGGACGGAGCCTGCTGCGGAGAGAGAGACACAGGGCGCGCGAGAGAGAGAGAGAATGAGAGAGAGAGAGAGAGAGAAAGAGAGAGAGAGAGAGAGTCTGCTTACGCACTCAGATAGCAGCAGACTTAGCAATGTGGTCGTTCGTGACTATTGCATTGTCGGGCTATCCGAACTCAAGGGCTTTCGTTGTCTGTTACAGGGGTTGCTTGAACTTGCTACATTGACCATGTTTTGATTTTGAATTTGCTCATCTCGTTGGAATGGGGGTTGTCTGTCTGTTTGTGTGTGTGTGTGTGTGTGTGTGTGTGTGTGTCTGTGTGTCTATCTGTTTGTGTGTGTGTCTGTCTGTTTGTTTTTTTTTGTGTGTGTGTGTGTGTGTCTGTCTGTCTGTTCGTGTGTCTGTATGTCTGTGTGTCTGTCTGTTTGTTTGTGTGTGTGTGTGTGTGTGTGTGTGTGTGTGTGTCTGTGTCTGTGTGTCTATGTGTCTGTTTGTTTGGGTGTGTGTCTGTCTATGTGTGTTTGTCTGTCTGTTTGTGTGTCTGTCTGTATGTCTGTCTGTTTGTCTGTTTGTCTGTGTGTGTGTGTGTGTGTGTGTGTGTCTATGTGTCTGTGTGTCTGTTTGTTTGAGTGTGCGTCTGTCTATGTGTGTCTGTCTCTGTGTGTGTGTGTGTGTCTGTCTATCTGTCTGTCTGTTTGAGTGTCTGTTTGTGTGTCTGTTTGTGTGTATGTCTGTCTGTTTGTGTGTGTGTGTGTGTGTGTGTGTATGTTTGTGTATGCGTCTGTCTATGTGTGTGTCTGTTTGTTTGTGTGTGTGTGTGTGTGTGTGTCTGTCTGTCTGTTTGTGTGTGTGTGTTTGTGTGTATGTGTGTGTGTGTGTATGTGTCTGTGTGTGTGTGTGTGTGTGTGTGTGTCTGTTTGCGTGTGTTTCTGTCTGTTTATGTGTGTGTGTGTGTCTATCTGTTTGTGTGTTTGTCTGTTTGTGTGTCTGTTTGTGTGTCTGTTTGTTTGTGTGTGTGTGTGTTGTCATATTCGCTATGCACTCAGAAAAAGCATGACTGTACCAGCCTGTTTCGTCGGACTTAATCCGACTCATCAGGAGGTTGTGTGTGTGTGTGTGTGTGTGTTTGTGTGTGTGTGTGTGTGTGTGTGTGTCTGTGTGTGTGTCTGTGTGTATGTGTGTGTCTGTGAGGCAGACACTGCATTGCACAGACACACACATAGTCAAAGTGGGCAGCCTTGTGTGTGTGTGTGTGTGTGTGTGTGTGAGGCAGACATTGCATTGCACAGACACACACACAGTCAAATTGGGCAGCCTTGTGCGTAAGAGGCACAGTAAAAGGGGAGCTGCAAGAACAATGAAAGGGATACCCCAAGGACAATAAAAAAACTGTCYAATTATAAAACTACTTTAATATGTTGGATATCTGAAATGCTCTYATTGTCTGCAACAKGACAAAGACTGSTTTCATTCTCAATCTATTCACCTAGGTGGAATTGGGGCTGTTGTGGGGAAAATCTAAAATACACAGAGTGTCACACACACCACACACACACACACACACACACACTCACACACAAGGCTGCCCACTTTGACTGTGTGTGTGTGTCTGTGCAATGCAGTGTCTGCCTCACAGACACACACATACACACAGACACACACAAACACACACACACACGCACACACACACACACACAGATGGGGGCTTTGTTCAGTGTTCACGCATCCTAGAGCAGTGGGGGGTTTTCCGGGACATAGGCCTGTGCCCCCCGACCCCCCCCCCAAAAAAAAATAATAAAAAAAATAAAAATAAAAAAAATATGTTCGCTTTCGCCATTTTTTTAGGCCCAAACACGTTCGGGCGAACGTGTTCGCGTTCGCCGGCGAACGCGAACGACGTGCAACGCAGCTCTGCTCTTTATTACACTGAACCAAAAACGGGGCCGTTTCCCCACATACAACCCGGAAACAAAACAGATAATACTGGGACCATTACCCAGCTTTAGGTGCAGGCATTCCCTGCCGCGGTCTTTTCTTTTTTTTATGTTGTTGGAGACCAAGCGTTCGTCGTTCCCCTGACTTTTGTTTTGTTGGTTTTTCGGACGTTCGTCATTCCACTTCCTCTTAGTTTTGTCACTTTCGGCA